TTATATGAAAATATATACTTGATATTTTTCTGTCTAGTTATCAATGATATCCTTCCCATAAATACTACCAAAGCCTTTACTTCTCTATACATCTCACTCCTATTTTAATTTCTGTTCCAGATTATCACTAAAGACTTTTTTCCTGTACAATTGATATTTGTTTAGATATAAGAAAAAATTTTTACTGATTTATTTGTTCAATATTTCTTTTTTGCATTCCATGTTCCTTTTCTGCATTTATTTTTCTTTTTGACCTGGAGAATTTTTCAGAGAGGGTCAATAAATAGTAAACATTCTGAGCCTAGATATGTCAGAAAATGTTTTTATTTTACTTACCCTCTTGAATGAAATTTGGCATGGAATAAAATTCGAATCATAAAGTTCACTTTCCTTCACTATGAAGATACTGCTTCTTTGTCTATTTGCATCAAATGTTACTAATGAGAAGTCTGATGTCAGTATGATTCTCATTCCCTGGTAGGTAGTTTGCCTTTTTTCTTGGGAGGTTTAAGTACTTTTCTTTATCTCTAACATACTAAAAGCAAACATTATATACTTATGTTTCATTTAAAAAAATTCATATGATTTTCACTCAGGGTAGTCTTTTAGTCTGAGATGTATGTCTTTTCTCGGTTCAGGAAAATTCCTGGCCACTGTTAGTCCAAATAGTGCTTGTCTCCTGTTCTTTTTCTTCCTTCCTTGTGGCGCTACTGTCCGGGGGGTTTGAGCACTCCTGGGTCCATCTTACAGGCTGCTTGACCTTTCTTTAGTCCATCCATCTCTTTTTCTTTGTGATAAGAACTGGAAGAAGTCTTCAGTTTGCCCTTCTAGATCAATAATTTGTGTTTTTTTTTTTTTAAGTTAAATTTTTAGAAATTGCGGTAAAATTTACCTATAGCAAAATGTGCACATTTAAATATCCAATTTGTATACGTTTTGAAAAATGTATACACCTATGAAACTGACACCCCAGTCAAGATGCAGAATATCTCTAAAATCTGAGAGAGTTCCCATATGAATGATCAGTTGTGTTCATTCTCCTTGAGGCTGATTAACCTCTGTTACGATGATCTTATAAGCTGTTGACCCATTCTCCTAGTGAAGGACAACTCACTCTTAAGTTGTGTTCCATCTGATTTTAATTTTCTAACTCACTAATTACCTGTTCTCGCTCCTAATTTCATATTCCTATTTCAGGACTATAAGTTTATCTCCTTTATCTCTCTAAACATGTGAAATAGGCTTATTCTAATGCCCTTGACTCCTTGGTCTGGTTCCTAGTGGGTAAGGTTTTGCATTTATTGAGCACTGTCTCTTTCTCATGGTCTGTTTTTTCTCAGATGTTTGTTAAATCGTCTACCTCCATAGAGCCCTTCTGTGTACATCTTGGCTTCTGTTGGGTGTAAGGCCTCCTGTCAGGTGGCTGGTCTTGGTCATGAGGCCTCCGACGTCTTCTTTGCAGCAGCTAAGGTAGTGGTTTATCCCAGCCATGCTGGTGGCCTCCTGGGGCTGCATCTGTGGCGAACTCCAGCACAGCAGCCAGGATGGCCTCCTGAATGGCAGCTCAGGCCTCACAAGGCAGCGTTTACTGAAAACTGAGACCCTGGTCTTCGTATCTGCTTTGTATCATACTCAGGAGACAGTCATATTTTCATATTATCAAAGTGCACTGAGAACCCCCCTTCTTGATTCCATGGTGTGGCTGTGCATTTTCTTGGCTTTAAATACAATGTATTTTATGTTATTTGGGGATGTTCATGGAGTGGAAATAAGAGAGCTAAGGTTGTACCACTAGACCGTTTTTGAAATTCAGATTCTTTTTAATCGTTTTTATTTTTACATGAGTGTTAGAAAACATACTCCTATCATTATACCCGTCTTCCATACTATAGAACAAATCACGAAAACCTCCTGAGTTAAAAGCAAAAGTTGGTAAAGATATGCATTTGCAAAATTCCTTGTCCCTTCCAAAGCGAACTTCCTTATTGTTCTCTTACCATAGGTGCTCTCATGGCTTCCACTGTCTCATGTTTTCAGCTCAGCTCCATCCTATAGTTACTCAAATGCACCTAATTCACTGTAATATCTAACTTCTGCTGAGTTTTGACAGGTGATAATATAAAAACAAATTCTATGACTAAGCAATTGCTAGAATTCTGTGAGTGATAACAATAGACTAGAAATCTAATAATATAATTTAACAGTTTGAAATCAAGACTCAGAATGAACACATCTATACTCATGAAAACATTCCTACTATACAGTATCAATTAAAAAAAAGGAAAAACCAAATTTAAAGAAGATTTTAATACAGAAAATGGTCAGTTTTGAGCATGACCTTCTGATCAATGTAAAATTAAATCTCAGTTTTCCACGTTATTATGCTATACAGTTTTATTCACTCTCAGAGTCTCCATTAGGGCAATCCCGTTCACTTCCGAGCACAAGTAGCTGAACTCTGGTGGAAGTAAACACTGCCCTGAGTGGTCTCACTGTACCTTTATAACCTCAGATCTCAAGATGTTCCGGGTGGAAATCCTACTATGCAAACCTACGCTTTCTCACTCTCCGAAATGAGAACTCTCATTTTCCTTCAATCCTCCTACACCACTTCTCCTAATCCTCTCTCAGCTCATGACGTTGCCTCAGAGTTCACGGAAGAAACAGAAGCAATCAGATAGGAACATCACCTGTCATCGGCCAACCTTTGGGCCTCCTGCACCTGCAGCCTTTGTCCTGTTGCTATCGGGGAAGTGTCTCTGGCTCCTCTCTAAAGCTGACAAACCTTCCACTTATGCCTGAGATTCCATCTCTTGCCTTCTCAAGGATGTTATTATTATAATTATCTGCCTTTCTCCTGCGTCACTGGTTTCTCCGTCTGAATCATCCCCACCTGCACACAAACATTTTCTAGTATCTCACATCCCCCACCACGGCACAAATTCTTCAGTTGTCTATAGTCCCCCAGCTCCTCACTTCACTTTCCCATCCTGCTTAAACTGGGCTCTGCCCAAATGAGTCCTTTCTCCTTTGACCTCTATGTTGCCAAATTGAATGGTTAAATGTCTGCCTTTATTTTACTTGATGGCATGTGGCGCAGCAACATTCAGTATGACGACCGAACTTTTCTTCCTGAAATGTCACCTTCTCTCGGCTTCTGTGACATAACTCCCTTCTGGTACTTCTTCTATCACATCGGTTGCTGTTTCTCTTCTCTTTGCTGGTTCCTTCATGTCAGACCACAAACTTAAATGCTGGCACTGGCCTCCTCTTTTCTATCCAGTTCCAAGACATCATATACAAATAGACTCCAAAATTTCCACCTCCAGCCAGGACTTCTTTCCAGAACTCCACATATGTGTATATAATAATCTACTTAATATTTCTACCTAGATGTTCAGTAGCTATTTCAAACCTAACACAGTCAAGAGACAAATCTTGGTTCTATCTTTGCACCTGTTCCATGCCCCCCTGGTTCTTACCCAATCTTCCTTATTTTAGCAAAGAGTACCATGCTTACTCAGATGCTCAAGTCAAAATCTACTTGTCATTCTTCATTTCTCTCTACTCCTCTCTCATCTAGCTAGTCCATGAGCAAGTTTGCCAATGTTTCCCCCAAACCTGTCTGAATCTTTCCACTATTCTTTGATTTACAATAACCCCATGTTTAAGGCATTATCATTAAGCTACCTCTTCTAGACTCCTGCAGCAACATCCCTGACCATCTCCTTGCTCCCTATTCACATGGCAGTTATGGTGATCTCTCCAAACATACTTCAGATTGCATCACTCCCTGCTTAAAATCCACCAATGGTTTTCAACCACATTTAGCCAAGGCCTAACCTGCTTACTCGATTACAAAATTTTACAGGTTCAGGACTCTGTCCATCTCTCTGATCTCATCTCACACCAGTGCCCTGTTGCTTAGCATCCTCTAGCCACACTAGGCTATATGAGATACCTAAAATGCCACGTCTAGTACAGCAATGGAGCACTTCCCCCACTTGTTTCCTCTGTTCTACCTGTTCTTTTTTTCTCATCTTTGTATAGCAGGCTACTTCTTGCCATTATGTTCTCCTTAGATACTCTTTTGAGCAACCAATATTTTATGCATTTACTTATTCATATCTTTGTGGAATCTGTAGTCTAGGACACGGGAAATGTTCAATACTTTATAAATGACCAAAATTTAAAGCATTATTCCTATGAGTCCTCATAGTCAACTATCATTATTAATAGTAAATGACAGCAATGACATCTCACATTTATTGAGTGATTACTGTATGCCAGGCACTATTCTAAGTGCTTTGTATGTATTATCTCATTTACTCTCTAAGCAACCCTACAAAGTAGTTACTATTATTATCCCCATTTTCCACATGAGGAATATGAGGCATGAAACAGTATGTGATTCACTCAAGGTCCAAAAGCTAAGAAATGGTAAAGTTAGGATTTAAACCAGGTGGACTAAATTTCAGAGCTTCCATGATTAACTACTTCATATTTTGTTATTATTATAATTACTAATATCAACACTGATAAGCAGCATTAATTGAACATCTGTTATGTGTTAGGTACCTAGCCTTTTTACTTGGGTTGATTTAATCCTCACAACAATAGCCTTATGAGGTAGTGTTATGCTCATTTTACAGATGCAGAAAAACAGAGTCTAACATGTTAACTTTCTGACCCAAGATCACACAGCATATGAATGGCACAGGTGAGATTCCAACCCAGATGTGATGTTCCAAATCCACGTTCTGTCTACTATACTACAATGTCTGCATTTTCCCCCCCAAAGAAAGACCATTTTTCCATGGTCCATAAACCATGAATTCAGGGAGACTCCTGCTGAGTCTGGGAAAGTCTTTCATATGTGCTGTTTCCTTGACTCCTGGTCATTCAACAGATACTTTGATTGTTTAACACGTGTTGACTGACTGTCATACATGGGAGGACTGTCACTCTCAGTGTTGTTGCTTTGTCCTGTTTATTCTCACCTGTGAAGAAACTTCTCATATGTCTGGCGGAAGGCAAAGCCTGCCCGACGCACCCTCACGTTCTCCAGCAGTCCGAGATACTCTACTTGATGCCGGCAGCGTTCATCATCAAACACCTGTGGGGACTTCTTGTCATTCGGTTTGATGCAACGTACGTAATACGGTTCCTAAAGAAATAAATCAGCAAATGATAAGTTTCCCTGGAGAAAAATCCCAGACTAAGGACACTAACATGCAGTTAGTGTTAACTGTGTCATATTATGCTCTGTGCCTCTAATTTCTCAGGCATATACTTGTGAATAGTTTTTCTTTCTTTCCCTGCAAGTAAGGTTGGAAGCTCTCATGCATTTAGCTAAAACTTTGTTTTATTATACTTTAGGATTCATTAGGAATAGTAGGGGACAAAACTAGAGAGTAATTGAGATATATAAATATAGAGTTTTTACATATTTATGAAAACATGGTTAAAAAGTAACAGAAGGAATGATTTAATACAAAGTCTGGAACTATACAGTAAAGATGAACTGCGATGATGAATATTAAGCACAGCCCGGGTACACAGTAAGTGTTCCATAAGTGTTAGCCATATTATTATTAGTATATTGCATTAGTTTGTGCTTTTGAAAAAGAGATGAAAATTTATGAGTAAGTAGAGAGGTTACAAAACCCCCTGTGTTCCAGAATAACCATGTGTCCACGTGGCCCCCTCCTCTGGGTGGTATGCTAGGTGACTGATGGCCTGGGGATAGTCAATCCAGGCCTGCCTTATCCATGGACACATCTTATTGGAATGCCGACCCCTCTGTGGAAGGTTTCACTCACTGGGGCACTAGGCACAAAAGAATGACTCCTTCTAGCATAACACCTAGTACGGTCATAAATCGTGTACTTTCTTTGCTCACACGGAATCTCTGTCCCCTTGCCCCTGGCACACATGTGGTCTGTCTTGTCACCCCATATAAGCAGTTCCCTCCTGGACCATGATAGCGGTGCATAATCTCGTCCAGCCAGCTGCTCCTAGACCCCCTGTATGTCATTCCTCACATGGTGTCTCCAGGTCTTTTCCCGGGTCTCTTGAACCCTTTCCCATTAACACCTCACTCACTTGGGCATGAGATCAGACTTATGATCACACACTCCCTGAAGGTGTCAGTGACTAAAAAAGGGCAAAAAATCCTTTCTTCTGTGCCAGTTAAGTTTTGTACCATGCATTAGATCATAACTCCTTTTAAACATAAAACTGTGCTTGGCATAGATCCTGGTACTCTGAAGATAATAAATGATCACTGGATAAATCAATGAGGTCAAAAGTATCCAACTAATCAGTGCAAGGCGTTATTTTCCCTTCTCTGATCTATTATCTATCAGACACACTTGAATTATGAGATAGAGTCATCTGTAGCTAAATTAGGCAGTTCTGAGAACCACTGAGGGCTAGAGGTAAAAAGTAGTAAATAATTTAAGACGTAGGAGAGATTTGAAGAACGTGAATTTACTTGCATTTTGAACGAGTAACAGTTTTTGACATCTAAACAGGAAGCTCCAAGTATGACTTCCATAATGAAAAATAATGCTGTTTTCTTCCTTTTTCTAGGCCCCGCTATATAGGTTTCCTATTGCTGCTGTAGCAATTACCATAAACTTGGTGGTTTAAAACAATACAAATTTAATCTTGTATGGTTCTGGAGGTCAGCAGTCCCAGAGGGATCTGTAAGTCCAGGGAGAGGAAATCCCGGGAAAAAATACCTCTAAAAAGCAAAATCAGTCAAAGGGAGAAACAAAGTTTAAAACCCGTTTGTTGCTTACAAACTGCAGTCCAGGGTCATCTCTCTCCTCTGCTCCTGAGGAAGCAAGCAGGCAAGAAGGCAAGCAGGCAGGCAAGCAAGCAAGCCAGCCAGCCAGTCCCTCCCTTTAAACTCTCAGGTTCAGACATGCCGTCAGTTGCCCAGGTAACTACACATTGATATGGAGATGACCTTCTCTCTAACCCTGAGGATATGCAAATGCTCTAAAGCCAAGTGAGATATTCTGGAAACGTTACAATTTTACCCACAGTCCAGAAATCTCACCTTACAATCTACTCGTTCCCCTTCTTCCACAGTGGTCCCTGGGAGAGAAAACTGGAGCATTGTGACCAGACTAATGACATAACAATAGCAACAGCAATAAAATGACAATCCTCAAGCCAGAGGATTCAGCTAGGTTCAAAATCTTATGCAGATTAAGTCCATAGCTCATCCATTCCACAGGCAGGCAGTAGCTAAGGGTTCAGTGCAATCATCATGCGGCAGCTGCAGCCAAGGGCGCATTCAGGCCACAAGGACTGCCGGAGAAAAATAACCTTAAAGGTGATAAGGTACATGTTTTAATGACACCAGCATAGGCAAATCTTGTCCATCAGGTAGGATGCATGCAAGAGAGCGGTCCTGTGATGAAACAGTGGCAGGAACAGGATCTCATCCTGGTCTAGTATCCAGACTTTCACCCCTCTCCCTGTGGGAGTTACAGATGGGTCGATATATAGGGCTATGGGAGGTACCTGCACTGACCATAAAGATAAAACAAACCTCCCTGCAAGATGCTCTTACCTCCTGGATGTTTTGGGTACACTACCATGACCTTTGTGGGCCATCCAGCTGTTACTCCAGGAATACACATGAGACCAGCTTCCAGGCCTTTCCCCAAAGGTGCCAGAAGGGCCAGCCATCGCTGGTCCATGTGTCAAAATGTCCAGGGCCAGGTCCATTCAACAGTGTCTCCAGGGCTTAATGCAGTAGGGGCTGGCAGCAGGATGTTGCTCTTCTGGCCATATCCTGGCTTCCATAGCTCATCTTTGGTTTGGACGTACAATTGTATAGGAGAGGCAGCAAGGTGTGTGAGCATATCCACAGGGCTCAAAGCTCCTTTATGTGGCTTCTCATTCATAGGCGAACTGTCCATAGACAAACTGACCAACCCCGTAGACTACTGGTGTCCGCCTTCAGGCCAGATTTCAACAAACTGTTGTACCTCTCTATCATGCCTGCCCAGGTAGGATTATGATACATGAAATTTACCCTTTATTCCTAATTGCTACACCCATCCTTGTAGTCCATGTCCAGTAAAGTAGGTGCCTTGATCTCTTTCAATCACCTGTGGCCGGCCATAGGCTGCAGAGACGCTCCAGGCCCCTCTTGGTGGTTTGCTGATCTGCACAATGTGCAGGAAAAGCAACCAATAGTCCAGCAGCTGTGTCCACACAAGTCATGGCATACCGATATCTTCTGATATAGGCAGAGGCCCAATATAGTCTATTTGCTACCTGACAAGGGGTATTGGCCCCCTTACTATTGTCCCATGTTGCTGTGGGACTTGGTGTAAGTCCCTCTTAGAGCACACAAGGAACTCCTTCCGGGCTTTGCTGATTTCTTCAAAGGTCAGTGGAAAGCCCTGCTGACAGGCTACAGCCCACATTGTTTTTGCCCCGCATGCAACAAATGCTGGTGTAGCCATTGGGCCACATCAGAGGCAGGCTTTCCTTCTAGCCAGTGCACCTGGGCCAATGTGTCTGCTTCATCATTCCCTGGGGATGCCAAAGGCAAATGGCCAGTCACGTGATGTACAGTAACAGCCTTAGTCTGACCAGAGGCTATAGGTCTTGCCACAACTCTTGCCCCCAAAGGGGCTGGTGACCAACCATTCAGTTGGCATGATACCATGTCAGTAACCACAGGGTCAAGCCCCGATAGATAGCCCAGCTGTCAGTGCAGACAACTATGGGGGAAGGCTCCTGGGTGATCATGAGCCATACTGCCCGCAACTCAGCCCATTGGCTGCTCTTCCCCTCTCCATCCCCCATCCATATTGTCTCAGTCTTAGGATGGAAAGCCACAGCCCTCCACTTTGGGGGCTGCCCACTACTGGAGCTGTCTGTGTACCAAGCATCTTCAGGTATAGAGGCTTTTCCCTTCTGATAAGAAGTCTCGGCTACCAAGGGCTGAAAAGCAAGTTCTTCCTGCTTTCCACTGGTATAGGTCACTGGCCCCAATAAGCGTTGGAGTTCTTAACTTAAGGGGCTAGTGGAGAGGGCACTGCACTGCTGTAAATATGCACCCCATTTGACCAGGGCAGGTGTCTGGGTCATGCCACTCCGTGGACTTTGGGTCCAGTCTTGCACCCACCCTGTGATGGGATCTGCTACCCAGGCCACCGCCTGAGGTACCATCTTCTCCTGTTTTAAAGGCCCACCCAGCTGTAATTAAGAAAATAAAAACAAAACAACCAATGGCTTCTAAGGGGGACGAGCAGCCCCCTCCCCAGCTTGTGGAGCACTCCATGCTCTGCCCCTATACCCAGGGTGAGTTGGTAGACATGAGCGTCTGGTATAGGCAGAGGCCATGTGAATCTCTGCCTACATGACTTTTACTTTGGTCGGAGCTGTTTCGGTGATGGGCTCTGTAGCCAGCAAGGTGTGGTACACAGCAGCCAGTTGCTTCTCTATCAAGGTGTACCAGACCTCTGCTCCTTTCCATAGTTGTGACCAGAATCCAATAGGTTGGTGTGTCTGTTCAAGCTGCTACCAAAGACCCTATCCATAACCATCTTCAGTTACATGAACATCTAGTTCACAGGGTCTTGATGAGTCCATTACATTGAAGGCCTGTACAGCCTTGACTACCCGCTTGGCAGAGTTAAAGCAGCTGCACATGTCTCATCCCAGTCCCACCTGATGCCCTTTTGTACCAACTGGTATAAGGGCTTCAGAATTTGTGCCAAGTGTGGGATAAACGGTCTCCAGTAGCCCAAAAGACCCAAAAACTCTTGTAATACTGCCACAGTGGTAGGGGTGGGGAAAGCCTGGACCTTGTCTATAACTGCTTCAGGAACAACTTTAGTTTTACCCAACCAGACAAGAATTTCACAGACAAACCAGGTCCCTGAACCTTGGTGCTGTTCACAGCCCATCCTTTTTCCTGTAGATGTTGCAACAGTCTAAGAACTGCCCCTTCTAAATCTGTAAGAGAATCAGATGTGAGCAAAACATCATTACGTAATGATACAACTGCACTGTTCGCGGTTTCCTCCATGTGGCCAAGTCCTAGGCTACAAGTCCATGATAGATGGTGGGACTGTGGAGATATCCCTGTGGAAGGACAGTGAATGTCCACTGCCAGCCTTCCCACATGAA